TATTATACGATGGATTAATATTCTGTGGAGAAATTTTAACAAGACATAAGAACCGAGCGTACAGTCCTACAATGGTATACGAAGACTCAAGAGTACCTTAAATCATAGCCAATGAGGACCTTAGGGTACCTCTAAATAATAGGACTTGAGAACCTAAGGATACCTCTAAATAATAGTCAATGAGGACCTAAGGGTACCTCTAAATAATAGCCAATGAGGACTCAAGGGTACGTCTAAATAATAGGACTTGAGGACCCAAAGGTACCTCTAAATAATAGCCAATGAGGACCTAAGGATACTTCTAAATAATAGGACTTGAGTACCTAAGGGTGGCTTTAAATAATAGCTAATGCCATCTATTCCCATCCATTTCCAACATTCCGATCCATTCTCAACCATTCGCAGCCATTCCGATTAGTCTTTTCCCCTTTCCCACAGCACACCCACACCCTCAAGTTAGAAAGTAACTCATAATGGATAAATTTCTGATTGGACGTTCATAACGTTCATTGAGATTAGAATGAAAAATAATGAATGCAATAGAGAACGCTGTCAATCTGTCACATAATAGCGATTGAGTTTATATATTCTTTTGTAAAAACTATCAGCACCTCAGCACCTTCTCAGCACCTCAGCACCTTCTCAGCACCTCAGCACCTTCTCAGCACCTTCTCAGCACCTCAGCACCTTCTCAGCACCTTCTCAGCACCTCGGCACCTTCTCAGCACCTTAGCACCTTCTCCGCACCTCAGTACCTTCTCAGCACCATCCGGCATAATTTGGAGCTTGGAACCTGCACTTACCCCCTTGAATCATAATCATAATCATCATTTCGAGACATCTTTTATATAACAAGGTAGATAACAGATATTATCTCTATGACACAACTTCAATAAAGTTTGTTTTTCATTTGATAACTTCTATTTCTGAGAATGTTTTATCCATTTTGATTCATTGTTATAGTTAACTTAAAGATGGATCATGAATAGAAAGAAAAAAAAAGCAGAAAATTTGAAAATAACTGATGTGTAAAAGAAATGTTGTTCCATGTTAGAAACATCAACTCATTTTCAATAATGATCAATTTTATATTTAATTTGATTCAAAATGAAAAAATTCAAAGAAAATTTTTCAAAAGAATTCTTTGTTTTTGAATAATTTGTCAACGAAATGATTGAAGATAGAGAAAATGTATAGACGACCACAATGCTGATCTGCTAAGTTCGGTATCTAGATGAGTTCGTTTCGAGATATCTTCATCCTAGGTGCAAGTGTGGGTATGGTTTTTGGTGTGAATGTGGGTGTAGGATGTGGTGGGTGTTATCTTTGCCTACACTCATACCCATTCCCACAAATGTGAAGCCTTTTTCTTTTGATGAAGAACATTCAATGCTTTATGATTTTATACTAAGAGCCAATGGTGGAATAGCAGGGTGTGGGTGTGAAGAAAAGAAAGAACAACACCCACACTCACACCCACATCCACGCACACCACACATCTCACACCCACACTCTCGAAAAATTAAGGCATACTAAAGTTTTATAGCCAAACGAACAGAGAACCGTTTCAGATATCCAGAATTTAAGTGAAGCACTCATTTCCCTCAGTGATATCAAGCATATTTCTTGTTATACGCAATATCAATACTAAGAAGATTTGCACACTCAAAGAAAATCTTACAGCTCCAATATCGCAGTATCAGATCTCACGAGTTAGGCTACGTGCCGCATCTTATATAAGAGAAGTGAGTATCTCTCCAAAATTCTAGATATATGACGCATTTTAAAAGGCTCATCTCAACAGACCAATTTGTTATAGAATGTCTAATTAATATTGAGTTACAGCAACGTTCGTAGCTACTTCAGCATAGACTTGAAATAAATCGATAAACGTCTTCAAATCGCAGAAGGAACCTCTCATTTTTGTGTTAATTTTTTGCAAAACGTCCATCTGTATTGCTTCATTACCATCGACTGCAACTGTCCAAAACTTTTTAATAACCGAACTATGAGTAATTAGTATTTGATCTAATACTTTTTCTGGATAATAATCCTCTTCATTACTCATAAGTACGATAGCGTACTTTTCATGAAACGATTGAGGAGAACATTTTTGTTTTAATTCATTGAGATAAGTATTCAATGCAACAAAAGCAGATTCGAAAGATGCTTGACCATCAAGAAATTGAATAACTTGCAAGTTGACTGTCCGAATGTCTTGATCTCTAATTGGAATTTCGCTTTGGTTTGAGAAAACAATAAATGTGATACGATCATCTATGTTTAAATTTTGCCGGCACCTCGCAAATTCTTGAACGATATTTGTTGAGCGATTCCATCGATCGCCACGCATGGTCCTCGATGCGTTCAGGAGTACTATGAAATGATAAGCATCTTGAGCATCTTTATGTGGTGTATTGTATGTCACATATTTCATGTCATACTTGTGACAAAGTTCTGGTCCGATTTTTTTCCATAGAGCTAAAAACTTGCTATGAAATCGATTTACTTTTGTCTGACTTTCCACCGAATCGAATATCCAATCACGATGTTCCTTTTTGAATTCGCACCATTGATAATGGTTTGAACCAATAGCAATGACATCTTTGTTTTTGATCTGTTCACAAAAAAGTAATGATGCTTCCTTAATGATCTCGAATTTGTAACCATTCAGAGCACGTAAACCATGACTTGGTAAGCAACGATGCTCATTATATGTCGAACCTGGCTCTGACTTGAGCTTTGTATGGTCAATATCGCATGGTCGTTTACAACAGGGACACAAAGTGGTGCATCCATGTACTTGACTTAATAGACGTCTATATATCTCTTGGCTATAAACACTACTAATATTATATTCAATTTTAGTCAAAGCGTCGATAATTTTATCTTTTTGTTTGAATAAAAAATCCAAGAATACGACAAAATTATAAATGGAAACTCGTTGGAAAGCACACGAAATTTGTTGAACCATAGTCGATAGTTCCACAATTGGTTTCTTCTGCTCTAAAAGTGATTGAATTTTAGTATAAATTTCTGGTTTCAACATGTATGGTATGGAGCTGTAGGGAAACGAAGTTGGAATGTTATTCTGAGTGAGATATGCATATAATAACATGCTTGCACAATGTCCCACATTAATTAAATTTTGAAATGGATTCAATGAATTTGTCTGTTGAGCTAAAAACATACCATTAGCCTGGCAAATAGCTGGATCTAATTTGCTGAAAGCGTCTAGTAGATCTAAGAAAAAACACAATAACGTCAACATGATTATAGATCTCTCGATTAAATACAAGGATCCCAAATCTATGGGACCGTCTCTTGGATTTTTTAGAACCAACGAACATTTCTTAAACTAAAGAAGATTTTAGTCGCAATGTAATCTCATATTCATGGACACATAGCAGCAGTCTATCATGTGTCAGAATGATTTGAATTTGATCGATTAGCATTAGTGAATCAATTGAAAACCTTTTGAATACCAACTGTCTCATGATTATAGCATCCCTCTCCTCTCTCCCAACATATAAACATATCGAATTAATGTTAATTTCACCCATTCCAATAGTTCATTTTGATGTCTATTCGAAAGAGGTGACACTCATATATACACTGAAAAAAAAACAGATGTGTAAGAGGTTCCCTACCACTTACGAAATTAAATGGTCTCAAAAATAGCGTTGTGTGGTTCGAGAAAAGTATGTTTTCACATCTTTAGTATAATGAAATTCAATTTAAATTATACCATCGAATAGAGCATGAGATGTTGTATAGATTATATAGGTTTTGAGAAAAGACTTTCAGACTATCAGTAATTGTACAAAAAAGATTTTTTCAAAATGTCATGTCAAAACTATCTATTTTTGTGTGAAAAACCACTGTAGTGACTTAACAGTTAGATGGCACATAATATATTTTTTCAACAATACTAAGAGAAAGTGCGTCAAATTCTGCTCAAGATAGGTTATTTCTCTGTTATCGAAAGTTAATTCTAAGAAAATTGGAACATCTTCACGAACCAATGCACAATTAACAGTCAGTCGACAAAAATATTTCTCGTATTTTGGATAGAACTGTTTTTCAACAATATCTTTTAATAACAAGTAAATATGCATCTTGTAGCGCGCTTAATGCACTTTCATATGGGATACGATGTGACTATTTTGTGCGTAACCCGATTGAGAAAATTAGAGCTTAAGTAAACAACAATTTATTATCTGACTCCCAATTTTGCATTGGTTCATGAAAATGTTCCAAATTTTTTAGAATCAACTTATGACAACAGAAAAATAGCCTATCTTGTACAGAATTGGACGCACTTTCTCTTGGTATTGTTGAAAAAAAATATTATGTGCTTTCTAGATGTGAAACCAATCCAGTGCCTTTTCACACAAAAACAAATAGTTTCAATATGATGTTTAGAGATTATTTTTTGTACAATTGTTGATAGTCTGTAAGTCTTTTCTCAACACATATGTAATCTATACAACTTCTCATGCTCTATTCAACGGTATAATTTAAATTGAATTTCACTATATTAAAGATGTGAAAACATACTTTTCTCGAGTTACAAAACGCTAGTTTTGAGACCATTTCATTTCTTAAGTGGTAGGAAACTTCTCGCAAATCTGGTTTTTTTCTGCATATACCTGAGTATGACCCCTGTCGAATGAACATTAAAATGAATTCTTGGAATAAACAAAATTAACATCAATTCAATTGTTGTATATTTAGGGAGAGGGGAGAAGATCCTATAATTATGAGACAGTTAACATTGAAAAGGTTTTCAATTGATTCACTAATGCTAATCAATCAAATTCAAATCACTCTTGCACAGGATAGGCTGCTGCTATGTGTCCACGAATATGAGATTACATTGTGAATGAAACCTTCTTTAGTTTAAGAAATGTTCGTTATTCTGAAAGTTTCAGAGGGGTCCTATCATTTTAAGACACCTATACATTCCTAATGATTTGATTGACAATAGAAGAAATGTATCAAATATGTTTCTTACTTTTTATGTGACAAAATAAATCTTCTACTAAGTCAATATAATGATATTTTCGGTTTGTACATTTGTGGTTAATTTCATGTGGAATAGCATTCCATATGTTATTAAAAAATTCTTCAATAACTTTTATTGGATCTGCGATATATTTCAAACACCACTGAATGTCTTCACTACGGAATAATTTTTCATCACATTGATCTTTAATCGTTTTTCGATTCAGAGACTCATAGCTAATTAATTTTTCGTTTCGAATACTTTCAGAAGCAACATTTAATGATCTGACTAGATATTCTTCAAAATCTTTGCTCAGATCAATTGCAGCTTTTTCATCATTCACAGAACCGATATCAATCATGGCATTAAAATACGTTTTTAGATGATCTTTTCTATTTTTTAATTCATTTAATACTTCACTTAAATAGTTTTCCGTTTGATCTAAATGACATTTTGCTATCAATATAGCAGCACAGCAATGCATCGCTGATTTCATTGATCGAGATAGACTCAACCAAAATAGAGATAACTTATTGTTAATATCATTAATTAATGAATTTACTGAATGGACAACGCGTTCGATTTTCTGATCTCCGATGATTTGCATTTCTTGAATAACTCGCGCAATAACTTCTTTAAAAGCTTTATTTTCATTTACTATTGGTTTTCGTTTATCGATAATATCTCGAATATCAAGTTGAGATCGATCGTTTGTAGCAGTCATGCATAATAAATCTTTATTTAAGTAGTTGAATTTTTCAATCGTATCTAATGAAGAACGTGTTATTGGCTTGAAACGATGAATTTTAATCGATTCATTTTGATTAATTAGATTTGTAAATCGTTTAATTAATTTATTTTCTATTTGATTGATCGGTGTTTGACTTTCATCATCAATAATATCTTGAAACTGTAATAAAAATTCCTTTTCATAAATATTATAATTTGCATAAATATATCGAATACTTTCTTTCCAAGATTCTTTAGTAACAAACTGCGATCGAAGAGATTGCTCTGCAGTCTCAAACATTTTATCAAATATTTGTTTGGCAGTGTCAGACGACATTTGCTGTCTCTTATGAATGATATCCTCGACTAATTTTGCTAAATCATTTTCAACATTTTGAATAATTAATTTAATTTTTTCTCGTTTGTTCATTGTGATGATGGACGCTCGTAAAGAATTGAATGTTTCAGTTATTTCTACATCTAAATATCGTTGGGTTCTGTTAAGTGAAGCATCGACTAGTTCAGTTGTTTTAATCTCATTTTCCTTATCAAGTAGTATACTATGAATATCTTGTTCAGTCTTAAGTCTACATTGCTCAATTAGTCGATTACGATAATCTGCAGAAAAAATTCTCATTAGTTTGTTTTTCATATGTTCATGACTATCTTGATAATAGGCAAGATCAGGAAATTTTTGTACCATATTAAAAATTGTTTTTGACGATGATAACCACCATCGTAATGAACACATGGATTCATTGGTTTGATGTAAATACTGTTCGACCGAACGAATTATCTTGCTACAAAAGGAATAAGCATGTTTAGTAAATTCAAATGTTATTTTCATGAATCTGAATTTCGACGGTAAAATCTGTTCTTCAGATTTGAATGCAGATGGAAATATTTCTTCTTTTTGTATCTGAATTGTTTCATCCAATTCAAGTTGTTTTATATATACAGCGATTTCGTTGATAGCTGCTTGATTGTTTTCCATATTTATATTGATTCTTTGACTGAAAACAAAATGAACTATACAGCGAGAAGTATGTGTAACATTCATTCTATTTAATGAATCGAAAGATTTTAATAATATCGATTGGAAATTCTTATCGATTTCATCAATCATATTAACAATCACTACATGTGAAACAGCCAGACAAAATAAAACGATACGATGATTATGTTCTTCATCTTCAGGTACAATTCGTAAACCTTCTGTGTGAATTAATAGAATATATTCAAAATCAGTTCGATTTGTTTTTATTAATGAACCATGAATCCCTCGTAGGCTTTGATCATCAAATGAAGTACCGAACATAGAATTTAATAAGATCGTTTTGTCTGAACCTTGTGGTCCAATAATACTAATAATTAATATTCGAGAATAATGAAGCAATTGTAAAGATTCAAACAAAATTCGATCTTGAAAATAGAAATTATTTTCATCAGCTATTTTAAATGGATAACCAGCTTGAATATAATCATAGTAATGTCGACGAAGACGATCTTGAACTTCTTGAGTTTCATATTGACTACAAATAAATGCATTATACCATAAAATATCTAAAGATAATTCTTGTTCTCGACGTATGTTTGTAACTATATCAAGTATTGGAATATCCAGACGTTTTTCTTTCAATTTTACCGCCAATGAATCTAGATATGCTAACATATTAGATGCATTTAAAATATTGGAAAAAAATTTATAGATCTGATTAGGATGCTCTGTTTTTGTTTTGGGTAAAAGATTTTCTAATTCATCAATTTTTTGTCGATGTTCATAAACAAAAGCATCTGTCCGATGATCAAAAAAGTTAAAGCATATTAATTTCGATTTCAACAAACACAATTGAGCATATTTTAAATATTCAGAAAAATATTCGATGATTTTGTTTTTATTGTCAGTTGGTTCGAATAATGCCTGTTCTAATGGTCGAATAGTACCATGTATGTCTTCTAAATAATTTTTGTAATCTTTATCCATTAGACTTTCCAGTTGACTTTTTATAAATGACATCTCATTTTGACATGTAGAAGACATTTTTTGTTTGATTGATTCAGCAATAAGTCGCTCATCATTTAGACTATTTTGAATAGACAAATGAGGTAAGAGAAGTGATTCAATACCTGGCAGATTAGTCGATAAGAAAGTACGACATTCGTTACGTTTATTTTCTGGAACATCACGAACGACTAGTAATCGATATTTTTCGCTGGTCTTTATCACATTGAAAATGTCGAGAAACGAATCAAAACTACTCAAAAGATATGCGCATGAAACATGAATAAGAAATCCATCGAATAATTTATAAATGCGTTCAAATATCGTTTTGATCATGGATCCATGAGCATCAGCAACATTTGTAAATCGTCCTAGTTGAAAACAACAACCGAAAGTAATATCAATGGTATTTTGAAAATAAATGCTCGATCTTGATTTTTCAAACGATGTTTGAAATATTGTGTTAATCAGTGTTGATTTACCCTTACATAAACCAATACCAAATGAAAAAATCGTAGGAAATGAATAATTCCAAATATGAATTATATTTGAAACAAACTCGTACGATATCGAGTCATTGTGGTTTATTGATGGTTGAAGAAATGGAACGGGATTTTGTCTACTTAATAGTGACATAATTTTTTGTGATAGTAAAATATCAGATTTTAATAAGAGAATATGGATCATCATGCGAAGACTTGTGTTAAGTTTTGAATATTGGAGAAACAACATCTCAGCGAAACCATCAAGAATGCAGCGTCGTTTCAGAAGATGAATAATTAAAATCAAACATGATTGAATAAATGAAGGAAAATTCTGATTGAAACCGTATTCTTTAATCATATCATCAAGGATATCATTAAGACTTTTATCAATAAATTGGTATACATTTGCTTCAATCAAGATTAATAATTTGAATTTTTCATTTTCATCGACACACATTTTAATCATGGCACATTCTTGTTGTCGTAGGTACGTCGAAAATATACCTTGTAGAGATGAAATCTTTAAATATTCTTTTAATTTTTCAAGAAGTTTTGTAAATTTCGTCAATGGAATTAATCTCATTATTTCTCTGTTGTGTAGAACATTCCAATAGCCATAGTTAGTCAAGCAATCTAAAGTTTTTTCAAATGACTCTGTATCGCTAATATTAATTTCTGGATGTTCAAATAGTTGTTTCAGAACTTTATTAAAATAACTTTTCAGAGCTACACATAATGCGGTCTGATTATTTGAAATTTCTGGAATAAGATATTGCGCATAACTTTGAACACCTTGGAGTCCTTGACTAAGCATAGTATCCCATATTTGAATAAAGAACGTATCATCGCTATTCATTGTATTATTATCAACTTTGAAAACCAGTTGAATTGCTAATGATAATTTTGGATCGACATACTTCGAAAATTTTGAACCGTACTCAGCAGTTCTCATCAATACTCTGTTGTAGTGAACAATTGAAGTCGATTGAACTTGTTGAAGAAATTGATGAAGCTCGTCTTCTTTAATTGTTTCTTTCCATCGTTGCTCGTGATAAAGCTTTAAAATACGTAAAAGTTCACTTTGATTGTCATCCATTAGACTTTTGAATACAGACGAATCTAAAACTTGTTCATAATCTCGAAGGACTTGTCGTCCTTCAGTGATAAGCTCTTCAGCAATCTGTTTTGGTTCATACTCTTCATTAAGTTTCAGAAGTCTAACTATTTTAGAAATGCATTCTTCTTTAGATAATACTGATGAATATGCCATATCGCTCTTATTTTAATGAATAAATGATGATTCTGGAGTCTTAGAGTTTATTTGAGACGAATTTCCAAATATGTTATTATGTGCAGTCCATTAACTTAAAATAGAAAATAAGTGTTAATTACAATTTAATCCATTCGGACCTCATGAAAAATAAAGGGCACAGAACGGATGTTTGATTATGAGAAATTTGTCTTTATTCATTTGTCTTTCTACTAGTGTAATAAAAATTTCAAATTTCACTAAATCTAGACTCATTGAATCATTCTCTCAATTTACCTGATCTCTCATGTTGTAATTCTATTCAATTACGCTTCTGTTCAAAAGAAACTTTCATTTAACCTTTGGCCGTATATCCTATTCAATAGAAATCGGGGAATTGTAATTTCACCAAATGTGAGTTTCGCCAATTGGTGAATTTCCCCATGAAATTCAGCATTTTGAATGAATTGACTTGTAATCCAACTAGATTATCAAGTGCTCTAACTGAATTACAAGCCAATTCATTCAAAATGCCGAATTTCATGGGGAAATTCGCCACTTGGCGAAACTCACATTTGGCGAAATTACAGAAAGCCATAGGAATCTAATAGAATTTCTTATCAATATCGGTGCGATCGAAAAATATTTTCGATGTTCTAAATCACTTCAATTAATATCCATCGCAGACACTATCAAATGAGTGGTATAGTTCAGATAGTTAAACTGGATTTTTCTTCAAAGGCATCTCTCATCATCGAGTTTCAAAAAGTTAAAATTTCTACTTAGAACGACCTATGAAAACATATTGAAAAATATGACCAGTTCTCATGTTGTATTTAGTAGTGTTAGCCGATCATTTGATCAGCGGCGGCGGCGAAAAAGTTTTAAGGCATCGGCGGCGGCAGCGGAGAGCTCTCGCCAAGGAGGTCCTTTTCGGCGGCGACGGCGACGACAAAATTTTTCCTATGGTATTTCACAGAGTCTTTCGTAGGCCCCTACCGTTAAGACAAACATTAGACGTTCTGTTCTTACAGAATTATAACACTGTTTTTCTCTTAGCATGCTCATGTCTTTTTATGCAAAAATTTTCCCAATAGATGTAACTTTATTTTCATTAATTTAAAAAATTCACACTATCCCATCATAAAATAACTTCAAACCACACAACAGTAACTCATAATATAAGCCAAAATGGCAATAATGTGACTATCCATCTGAAATACAAATTAAATTCAAACATGATAGCTTAGGGCTGGCACTTTATCTTTACTTTACCACCAAATAAAGTTAAATACTTTACTTTATTCTGTAAAGTGAATATATTTTATCCAAAAAGTAAAGTAAAGTAATGTGAAAAAAAATGAAGTTGTATGTTTTAAATTTTTTGGCAATTTCTTAGTTCAGAATCATGTATAAATAGGCATAGAACATATCAAAGTTTATTCAATATTGTTTCATATTTTAAAATTAGTGTAAAAAAAAAATCAGTAAAGCCGAAGAATGTCGATTTTTTAATGGATACATGAAAAATATTGTTTGATTTACTTTATCTCACTTTACTTTCAATTGTTGATCCACATACTCAAAAAAAAAACCTGTCACGATCATTAATCCGGCCATACTCCTATTTAAAATGTCAAAAGATTTATTTGGCATCAAGAAGAAGAAAAAACACTATATACCATTTTATCGATGAACCAACATATATGAGTACTAATAATGCCAATCGTCGATGTAAATAAACATGTTCCATGGCATAAGCTAAAATCATAATATCGACAAACATTGGTGTAATATCCTATATGAGAGGCAAAGAACAAAAATATCGATAGAACACTGAACAAAAGAAATAGCACATGCTCTCACTTTGAAATAATTCAAGCCGACTTGATCACCAGATAGAATATCAGCCATTGGAAAGAAAGCAAGTGGCAACAAAGAAGTTACTGCATAGGGCATTACTTCAGACACCCAATAAGCAGTAAGAAGAAGTACAATGTAGCCACATTGTGTTTGCTAAGACATATTCAAACAATTACAACACTAATGCAGCAACAT